AGGCCCCTTGCCCTCATGGATCCCAGACTCTCCTCTTCATTGGTCTTAACACAGCTAAAGACTGAGATCTCGCAGTCACTTCTTCGCCAACTAAATTCCTTCATTTTGGCTCTGCACCTGTAGCTCAGTGATTAGGGCGTTAGCCACATACAACGGGGCTGGCAGGTTTTAACCTAGCCCAGGCCTGCTAAACAACGACAACTGCAACAACAACAGTGTGGCAGGTACCTGTAGTCCCAGCTACTCTGGAGGCTGAGGCAAGGGAATTGCTTAAGCCCAAGAGTTGGAGGTTGCTGTGCGCTGTGACACCATAGCACTCTACCGAGGGTGACCTTGTGAGACTCTGTCTCAGAAAAAAAATTCCTTCATTTAAGAATCCCCTGGGTGACAAACACCAAAAATACAAGGAATTCCAATGCACTGAAAGAGAGACATGAAACTCAACAAACAGAAGAACCAATACGTTTGGTAGGTGAGGTAATACAATAAGCATATGAAAAAGGTAAAATACCCGTAGTTTACGTTTCCAGAGAAATTCAAGAGGATATCTGTTTTTTAAAAACAGGCTGGTGGGAATATGAAATATGCTCAGTTTTGAAAATTGCAAACAAATTCTGGGAACATTAATTAGTCAGTTGAATAGGTGTTACACTGACCTGGAATTTCATCACAAAGGAGTTTCTCAGAACACAGAGAAAAAGGACTGGGAAATGAAAAAAAGAACAAAAAGTTATAAGACATGGAAGTTAGATTGAAGGTTTTCAACATCTGCCTAAAGTAGAGAAAACATTGAACTTAGAGCTTGAAGTAACAGAAAAAATAAGAAAAGAAAATATCACCGAGCTGAAGAAGGTCGAAATGTTTAGATCGCAACGTCCCAGTAATTGTTGAGTAGAAATAATGAAAAATTGACACACACCTGGTGAAATGTTTAAACCCCAAGAATAGAGGTGGATTTGTACATTAAGTTCTTGCCATGACTCCTGCAATTTATAGGTGACCTTAGTCTTCATTCATCCACCCATTTGTTATTTCAATCAGCAAATCTTTCTTGAGGACCTGGCCACTCAGCTACAGATGTGAAGATGAATAAAACAGACTTGGACTCTGACCTTACAAAGCGTAGTCTGGAGGGGAGCAGGCCAGAAAACAGACAAACACAGCAGTTAAGAAAACAAGCTTTGAAACCAGACTACCCGGATTTGAATCTGGTTCTACCTCAGTGACCTTGGGCAAGTGACTTAATCTCTCTGTGCCTCAGTTTCTTTCAACGTGAAATGTGGAATAGTGGTGTCTATCGCATAGGTTGTTTTGTGGATATAAGTAAAGCACTTAGGGCACCGACTGCACAAGTAAACATAAGCACTACTTGTACAGATTTAACAAGCACAGAAAGATGGTGAAATGCTAAAGAGCTGGGACATGCGAGTATAAAGGAGGTGCCTGACCATCCTTGAGGGGTGCAGGGAGTTGCCTGGCCAGGCCTCGGCATGACCTTGTTGTGAGAAGCTAACAGACCCAGGCTCACTGGAGCTGGTGCAGACGCTGCCTCCATGGGACCCAGGCTCTGCTGTCTACTTGGCACATGTGAAGCACATTAGGCTGCTGCCTGGGGTCCATGGCTTGTCACTCCCTGTTCGGGAGACACTGACGAGGACTGCAATGTCACCAGTGCCTGAAGGAAGCCGCCCTAGCACACTAGATATTTCATATTTTTATTAGCTGTTTCTGTTCATCTGCAACCTGATTTCCCTTCAGCACATCAGCCTTCCTCAGCCCCCAAAGCCATGGTCAGGGCCAATCTGTGGGCAGGGTGGGTCCCAATAGATCAAAGGAATGGAATGTGGAGGCTGTTCTGTCTTTCTGGAAGGGCAGCCAGGGAGGTGGCTGTGAGATGGGCTGGGACAGGGGTTCAGGCTGTGCTCCCTCCCTGGGACAAGCCTTCAGGGGCCCAGATGGAGTAGGGAGGTCTAAATCTAGGTGTCTAGGAGGCCCCAGGAGAAGGACAAAAATGGGTTCCCTTGATGAATCTCTTTTTCTCCTAAAGCCTTCTGCTTCCGGACGTTCTCCTGCTTCTGGAACGATGAATACAAAAGGCAAATGGAGAAGGTAGGGGTGTGGTCAGGGACTTGCACCCAGGTTTTAAGGCTCCCAGCCACATGGGGTCAGGTGGCCAGTGAACCCAAGAGCCAGGTGAGTCCCATATGGCATGGATGACACCTGAGGTCACTGGGGCCCTAGGCCACTGATTGCAGCCCCTCAGGCCAGGCTCCCTGAGGAGTGGGGGCCTCCTGCTGTCCATAGCATGGGCAGATAGGAACCCGGAGCCTCCAGGAGACTGAGAATGGGACATCCCAGCCCAGAGGGACTCTGGCACCACTGGGCTTTCTCTGCGGCCACCAGGGAGCCCCCTCCCCTGGACTGTGTCACCAAGACTTTGCCCCTATGTTTCTCATCTTCAGCCCCTTCTCCCCTAGGGCCTCACTCACCATCCTCCACACCCTGGGTGGTGTCAGGCAGACAAGGCCTTTAGTCCCAGGGAGAAGGAGACAAGGCCTCTGCTTGCAGTGCGGGAAGGACTCAGGGATGGCAGCTGATGGGGAGGGAGGGATCTCCAGGGATCCTCAGATCTTCAGAACTGGGCAGGATGCTCCCCTAGCGAGCGTATATCTGGCCCACTCCCCCACCACTGTTGTCATCCTGAAAAGAGATGGGAACATTCTCCAAATGCAGCCTAGCTGAGGCTGTTTCACACACCAGTGACCAGTACTCCCTCAACTCTGCCCTGAAAGAACAATGACAGCCACACTCCATGCTGCGAGTTCCCCCAACCTGGAGACACCAGCCAAGAGAGCAGCCCAGGATAGGATTTCCACCCCAGGGACCCTGGTCTCTTCTGTCCCCACACAGCAGGGGCCCAGGTCAGTGCTGTAGTGCCCATGTACCTCAGCACCAGCACACTGGATGGTGCTGCACAGGGACACCACAGCCCTAAGGCTCTGAGGCAGCCAGCACCAGGGGGCTGAGGGCTTTGAAAAGGCTACATAGGAACAAAGTCGCAGCAGTGCCGCTCTGCCACTGAGCTGGAGGGCTGAGCAGCTGGGCCACAGTGGGTGCTCACGCACAGACCCCACAGCCTGCCAGTGGGGTTCAAGGCTCTGTCACTCTCAGGCTGGCTGGCCTCAGGGAAGTTATTAATAGCTAATCTCACTATGCCTCAGTTTCCTCATCTGTAAAACAGAGTATGAAGATGAAATGAGGTGGTATAGACTTAATAAATTAATATGTGTTCCAAGTTTCCAAAATCCTCCAGACCCCGGTTCAAGGCATCAGGACAACCCAAGAATAAGACACAGGAATAAAATAATGAGTGTCTGACCCAGCAGGTGATAATGGTCCTGCCTCCGAGCAGCACTTTCCAAACTTCCGCCTTTTACACGCCGTGCTGGCTTCTGTCAGATCACTCATGCTATTATTTAATTCATGGTTTTCTTTCAGTGAACTGACTTCTAAATAATTTATTTTCCTCAGAATGTTTATATCAACCACCATAACCGGAAACCCAGTACCTCAAATAGAAGAAAACTACAAAAATACATCCTGTGAAAACAAGCCCAACTTTCCAATGTTCCAGCTGCCTGCAGCTGCCTGCTGGGGCTCAGAGCCGGAGGCTGCTTTCTCTTTGTTTTTAGAATGAGGTATTAGCAGGGCTTAAGAAGCTTGAGTGAATTCTCCTGAAAGAAAGTGGAAATGGGAATAAACTTGCTACCCTGTGAAAGCACATTTAACTCCCCCTCTGACACCGCCTGCCCCTCAGGCCCAGAGCCTCCACTGTGGGAAATCACTGCAGCCAGGCCCCAGGCCGGCCAGGCCTCACTTGCCGAGGGCAGAGGAAAAGCTGGGAGAGGTGGGGAGCTGCCTGACACTGCAGGGCTGGTTTAATTTGGGGCTCTCTGGTGGCTGTCCGGCCCAGGCTCCTGCTGCCATTTGGCAGGGGTGCACATGGGCTCTGGGATTTGGTAAAACAGAGCCAGGCCCCTCTCTGGATCCTGGGGCACCCGAGTATAGGGAGTCATGGAGCCTGTGGGAGAGCCCTGCCCCCCTCCTCCTGTTGCCTCAGGTCCTCTGCCAGGGTAAGGCAGACCCCCCTAACCCCAGGTGCCCAGACCCCCAAGGAATCTCCGGGACTCCTTGTTGCTCCAGTGATGTCACCCTGGCTTTACCAATGTGGCTTCACCATCTGTCCTGTCCCACCAAGCAGGAAGGGGCTGTGCTGAATCATTGTGTGGAATTCAAGCAGACCAGTAGGCTCAGGGTAAATAATGGAGCCAGGGTCGAACCCAGACAGGAGGACCCCAGGGCCCTGCGATCCAGAAAGCAGCTTGAACGAGAGAGAGAGAGAGAGAGAGAGAGAGAGAGAGACTGAGGACGGAAGGCAGTAATAGCACCAGCTGCTCAGGTGGTGGCCGCCGGCCCGCCTGCCCTGTCAGCACACCTGGGCACCCAGGTAGCGACAAGCATGTCAGTTCTGCCAAGGTACAGGTAGAGTCTGGTACAAGGAAGCCACAGTGACCCACAGAGATGTGAGTGACAGGGCAGCAGCCTGGTCTGGTGCAGGCCTGGACTGTGACTTCAGGAGGTGGATGTGGCCCCTGCACAGCTGGCAGAGCCCAGCCCAAGGACACTCCAGAGCTGGCAAAGCCGGAGGCAGTGCAGAGATGGGGGGTGACCCAGTGCAAGGAGCCTGCCTCGGGGTGTCCTGGCCCCACATCCCTGGACAGAAAGGGAGAAGCTTGCACAAGGCAGGCCCAGGGCAGTGTGGATATGAAAGTGAGGGTACAAATGGGGGCCTCACCACATATGAAAATAGAACCTTGTACGGCCTGCAGCAGCCAGTCCAGGGAGCAAAACCATAATCTCTGCATCAACTGGGCCCAGTCAGTGGGACCTTGGCCAGTAATTGCCAGTTTTCCTAATTGTTGTCCTGGTTTCCAATTTAGGACCAACCAAAGAAAGCCAGATCTGCACACACACACGCCTTCAGGAGTCACACTAACTAGACGTCCTAGATGCCAGCAACTCCTTCTGGGCACACCTGACTGAGCCTTCCCTTCCTCACTCTGTGTACGGCCTTCCCACTACCCCGCCTGCCTCTGAGTCTCTGCCAAACAGGTGATTGCAGTGACTCCCCTGCTACAGCAAATTCTGAATAAACAGTTTTTGCTTGTTCTCATTTGGTTGGTCTTCACTTATTTTCACAATTGTGAAAATAAAAACAAACTTTTTGTATGAAGTATGAGCCTTATAAATAAAGCTAACTTCTTTTGGGACTTTTACATAACGAGTGCATAAAGATGTCCAATCTTAAACTGAATTCTTATTTCACACCTGTGAAGATTAAGGCTCAGAGAGGTTAAAAAATTTGCCAAGGTCACACAGCCAATAAATGATAGAGCCAGGACCTGAATCTAGACAATAGAAGTCTGGGGTCCTTGCCTTAAGGTCTTGTTGTGTGAACTGAGCTACTTGATAGCAGTGGTTCCCCTGGTGAACTTTCTGAAGGAAGTTTTCAGAAACAAATTGACTTTTTTTTTTTTTTTTTTGAGACAGAGTCTCACTTTGTCAGCCTTGGTAGAGTGCTGTGGTATCACAGCTCACAGCAACCTCAAACTCTTGGGCTTAAGCAATTCTCTTGCCTCAGCCTCCCGAGTAGCTGGGACTACAGGTGCCCACCACAATGCCCAGCTATATTTTTGTTGCTGTTGTCATTGTTGTGTAGCAGGCCTGAGCCAGGTTTGAACCCACCAGCACTGGTGTATATGGCTGGCGCCCTAACCACCAAGCTATGGGCACCAAGCCAGAACTTAACTTTTGACTTTATATACTTACCTACTATTTGAAAACATTTTTTCCCAAAGACCATTTACTGCTGTCGTTACAAACCAATACCTCTTTCCCTGAGCTTCTGTTCATGGCCACAGAATATGGTGGGGCTAGGCCTTGTCAGCCCCTCCAGGAAGGAGGGTTCCACAGGATCAAAGAAAGCAGACGAGGAGCTGGAAGCCGAAGACTTAACCACATTGAGCTCTTATTCTATGAATACAGGATTTCTGCCCATATACGTAGGTCTTTTTTGATTTCTTTCATCTGAATTTTATAGTTTCAGCACACAAAAACTGCATATTTTTGTTAGATTTGTACTCACATATTTTAGTTTTTGGAGTTATTGTTAATAGCACTTAAAATTTTTCAGTGTCCGAAAATTTGTGGTGACTCACACCTGTATTCCTAGCACCCTTGGAGGCTGAGGCAGGTGGATCGCCTGAGCTCAAGGGTTCGAGACCAGCCTCAGCAAGAGCGAGACCCTGTCTCTACTAAAAGTAGAAAAAAACTAGCCGGGCGTAGTGGCAGCCTCCTGTAGTCTCAGCTACTTGAGAGGCTGAGGCAAAAGGGTCACTTGAGACCAAGATTTTGAGGTTTCTGTGAGGTATGATGCTATGGCACTCTACCCAGGGCAACTAGAGAGATTCTGTCTCAAAAGATTTTTTTCAGTTTCCAATTGTTTATCGCTTCTATAGAAATGCAATTGACTTTTGTACATTGATCTTGTTTGTGTCTGTGACCTCACTAAACTCACTTAAGTTCCATGAGGGTTTTTGTTTGTTTGAGTGCCCACTGTGTGACAAGACCTAAGGTTACCACACAAAGCCCCTGCCTCCTGGAACCTCCGTCTCAGCCAAAGAAGAGAGTCAAAAAGCAATAAATACTCAAGTATGGAATCAAAGGCCAAGGATGATAGAAGAAGATATTCCTTTAACTCAGGTGGTGAAGAGAAGTCTCGCAGAAGAGGTGACATTTGAGCAGAGATTCAAATGGACTAAGGCAGTGAGCCATTTGGGTCATGGGGGGAGTTCTAGGTCAAGGGAATGACAGGTACAAGGGTCCTGAGGCATGGAGGAATGTTGGTGCTGAGGGCTCACAGCAGTCCCCTCCAGGAGTCCCCTCCTCCAAGGGAGCTACCTCACCCACACCCCCATCCATCCCCAGGACATCTGTCTCCTCCATGCAGGACAATGCTCACAGGCCACCGCAGCTCAGGGCCCCCCAGGATGGGCTGAGGCCTCTCTTGCATCTCAGTCTCATGGTCCCCTGCCCTCCTGCTGCCCTCACTTCTAGGGGCACTGGTTCCTGTATGCCCCACAAACTTCTGCCCCAGCATCTGTTTCCCTGGAGAATTCCAACCTAAGACAGCACATCAGGCAGCCCGGGGTGGGGGTGGGGAGTAGTAGTTGTAAAAGATTTTAGAAAATTATGACATGTATTTGCCTTGATAGACTTATTCACTGTGTTGTCTTTTTTTTTTTTTTTTTTTTTAGCTCTGTACATTTTAAGGTTAACTTGCTATCTTTCTCAGTTTTAGCCAAAATAATTTTGTCAGGCCATCCACGAACCCGTAAGGGGTGTGTGTGTGTGTTGGGGGGCCTGAGTTTTACCAAACATATCTCACATCTTTTATAAGGACTTGATAAATGTTTATGGGATAAATAATAAATGAAGCCATTGAAGAGGTGAGCTAGTGAGACACACCAGGACACCCTTCCCAAGAGCTCCTCTCTCCCACCCACCTCTGCCATCAGCATCTCTGACAAACTTCCCAAGCTCCTGTGCCACCTTCTGCTGTGCCTGTGACCCAAAGCCAACGGGCCACTCTGCCATCCCCAGATGGCTAAGAGGGCTGCAGAGAGAAGAGAGAGTTACCAGCCTCACCCCTTCTTCGGGGTCTCCAGCGGCTCTCCCTCTCTCTGGAGATGTTCCCTGGGGGACAGACAGTTCTTGGTCCTGTACCTTCAGGTGACAGACAGTTCTTGGCCTGGCTGCTGAGTTTCAAAAGTCTATCCCCACCCACCACCCTCAGGGTAGAGAGTGAGTCAAGATGATGGCTATGGCTTAGTCTCCTCACCTGATTGATACATTTGGAAATTATCCTCCTGCTGCCTGATGCCCCCAAAGGGCAATTGAAAGCTTCCCAGCATCCTTGCTCGGAGTGAGAGAACCTGGATTCCAGGCTCACTGCCTGGGGGCAGCACTGGGGAGAAAAGGCAGAGGTTGAGCTGCTGGTAACTGAAGCAGGTTCCCCAGTTCTCTGCAGTGGTCTCCATCTAACATCAGGCTAACCAGGGTGGATCGTGATTGAGCCCTTGGTAGCCCACTGGGGTAGGTGTGGACATTTTCTCCTCTTGGACAGTTCAGGGAGGACTAGGGGTTTTCTCTTCTGCACTGTGTTGGCCCACCCTTCTCTCCTCCCCTCACTCTCCCTCTTCCTCTTTCTCCTCTTCCCTCTCCATACCCCTCTCCTCCTTTCCTTCTCCCCCTGCTCTCTGAGCAACCACATCCTTGCACAGCACTGAGGCCCACCCTACTGGAGCCGCGTCACTGGGGTACTTCATTCCCAACGCCTGGAAGGACAGAAGAAGGGCAGATACCACTGGCCTATGTGGACAGGGAGAGTGTATGAGGTGTCAGCTCCAAAAACTGCTGCCTCAGGGGACCCTCAAAGTGGTCCAGGGGCTTCTGGGCTTGCTGTTTCATAGTCACAAGAATAGGAACTTGGTGGGATTTAGGACAGCCTGGGGGCAACTCTCTGCTGCATTACTGTGGGACAAGGGCTGATTGTCTCACTTCTTTAAGTGGCACTTTCTGCCACCTTGCAAATAGAGATGCAAAAATGTAGCCCTTTGACCAGCTATTGCGAGCTTTCCTGAGATAACAGAAGTGAAGCCTGAGCAGAGAGCCTGGCTCCCTGAGAAACCCCCATAAGTGACAGCAAGAGATACTGGGTTTATGTCCACATGACATCAGCCCCCCAGGGTTTAAGAGGGGGGCACTGGCTCGGCGCCTGTGGCTCAAGCGGCTAAGGCGCCAGCCACATACACCTAAGGTGGCGGGTTCGAATCCCCAGCCCGGGCCCGCCAAACAACAATGATGGCTGCAACCAAAAAATAGCTGGGCGTTGTGGCGGGCACCTGTAGTCCCAGCTACTTGGGAGGCTGAGGCAGGAGACTCGCTTGAGCCCAGGAGTTGGAGGTTGCTGTGAGCGTGATGCCATGGCACTCTACCCGGGGGGGGATAGCTTGAGGCTCTGTCTCAGAAAAAAAAAAAAAAAAAAGAGGGGAGCACTGTTCCCTCCCAACAAAGACTTGAGGCTGGAGTGATGGAGACCTGGAGGGCTCTCTGGGTCCCAGCTGGGCCTTCCTGCTCACATCTCCTCCCAGCCAGGCATCTGTCCCCAAAGAAGGCCCTGGTCCTTCCTCCCCCTCCTGCAGCCTGCTTTCCAGGGGGTTGTCTATGTGTGTGTGTGTAAATTCTTCTTTCTTTAATAGAAATCGTACCCCTGCCTATTCCCACTAGCAGAATCGCTCGGCTCTCTTTGCCCCTCAGTACGGAGAGAGCTTCCTGACCCAGCTGCTGTGGGGACACATGTGCACTGTCTTCCCCAGGTGGGCATAATTGTAGGGAAATTTCCAGAAGACGTGTGGTCAGCTTGGAGGCTACCAGTGTTTATGATTCTGAAGCTGTCACTGTTGCTACAGCCACTCTGACTGGTGGGGCTCGGCCTCTCCATGTTCCTTTAACACGCGGCTCTCTCCTGATGTGAGAGCGCCACCTTACACGGTGGCCCTGGTGTGTACAGCTCCTCTGCCCGGCACCCCCTTAGGCTGTCGGCGCCTTCTTGTTGATTTGCAGCTGCTTTTTATATTCTCAACTGTGACGAGCTACAAATATCCTCCCAGTTTGGCATCCAGACTCAGCACGTCTAACTGCCCTGCCAAAGACTATACTGGTCCTCTGTCTGTGTAAAACCCCCACAGCATCTGGCACAGCTCTGTGCGCACAGTAGGTGGTCAATAAATACTTGTCAATTAGGTTAATGGTATAAAAACGTTCTTTATTCATTGTCAAAAATTAATATTTTGAAACAATTACTGCCACCATTTTATGTAATATATACTTCTACCCGTGTCCTAATGTATTAAATATAATATAAAAGAATAATATAATTAAAAAAGATATTTTTGAAATTTAAAAGACTGAGCTAAAAATACATATAAGTGGCAGTTCTGACATGGCTTCCCACACCCCAGCAGATTGCCCTGGACACCACCTTGGAGACCTCTGGGCCGATGCATGGCTGGCAGCTTGAGGTTGGACTTCTCAGCCTCCAGAACTGT